CTTTGTTTATCTTTTTATGCTATGACCATAGTTTTATATAGATAGCAGTAACAAGCAGTTATTCTATGTAGAGAATGAGATATTTATGACTAACATAATGATACAGTGTAGGGAAATACAGGCCTGGTATGATAGCAGAGGCCTTGAGACCTGGAGGTGCAGGATGCGGCGTAGAGGAGTACAGGGAGGGGATGATAAGAGATGCCGCACAGGCTTGGCACTGGAGACCCCACAGCTGTAAACAACTCACTGATAGTTGGTTAAAGAAATGCAGACCTAGATCTAACAAAACTGGCTTTAGGGCTAACAAAGAGAACAAAAGAATAGTATGTAATATATGTAAAAGGCACCATGTATGGAATATTTGGAGGTACTGTGGACCTGCAGATTGATGAAGAAGGAGCAAAGGTGTAAAAGCATGTTAGAAAATGTAAAAATGACTCCAAGTGGATCCTGAGATGAGGAAGAAGAAAGCATTAACATGAACATCATATTGTTCCTGGTGAAGGGACTTCAGATACTGACAGCTCACCATAACATCCCAGCACCACCAGAATGAAACTACCAGCCTTGGGATGGCAGAAGAGCAATGGAAGTGTGAGCATCAGGAAAAGGGGTAGAAATTCAATGTGTGAATAACAGTTCAACTGGTTTATCACTGTTATTGACGCTTTCTCTGTATAGAAGTATTCTAACTGTATTTTTCAGTAACAGTTATATCTGGATTAATAATTATTAGACTTTTAAGATTTGAATTATGCTAACAGAAAAATTCTTGGCTTTATATAAGGTGTGCTTGCATTTTGCCTATAAACAAGATTTGGAGTGTAAAAACTGGTGGATACTGTGGGCAGCCCTCCTGTGAACCTTTGGGGCATTCTGGAGGACAGCCCTCTGTGAGCCCTTATGGCATTGTAAGGGTTGGTCCTTCTGAAGCCCTTACAGCAATTTCGGTCTGTCCTTTTGTATTCAGCATACGATAATCAAAGATGGGGGAATAGAGTTAATATGTGTTCCTACGGTCCTGGAAAGTATCTTGCTTAAAGAAAAAAATTGATCTATGGGCAACGTCCGCAGATCTTTTTAGGGATATCAGGTGTGTTTCCTGTTTGATCATGAAGGGGATTTTGAGTGTGACGCCCCATTCTTGAATTTTCTTGATCTTGCTGTAGTCATTAAGTATATGAATACCCTCCTACCTGAATTTTAAAATTACTGTGCACTGATTTGCAAACATGATATGGCAATGAATGAATAATATCAACTCAGTATCAAAAGGTTTATTTCATAGCATTCCATATGCACTGTATATATTCCTTGTTTTAATTTTCATCCAAGGTAGTAGCAAGTATTTAGTCCACCTGGGAATGTAGCATCCATCACTTCATTGTGAAGATAATTTAATAAAATTAACCAGGAAATAGTTCCACCATCTAGTCATACTGTTTTTAACATAAAAATACCTTCCACATACTGTCTGTATATGTGAAACTGCTAAATATTTTAAGTTTCATATTCCAAATTCACTATAAACATTTTGGCAGCCGTTTCAAAAATTGCTGCACCGCTGGGTTGTTTATAGTAGACAGAAAAACTGGGTTAAAAAAACACCGGTCAGGAAATTCTTCTGCTAACTCTCCATCTTAAAGCCATAGTCTTTTGCCAATGTTACATCTGTGATATGAACCTAAGCTGGTGGCTTAAGGAGAGTGGATGAAAAAACATTTGCTTGAACTATTTTTCTATAAGATGTCAATTTGCATTTGTAAAATTATTTATTTTACATAATGCAGCTGGGTGTCACAATTTACATTCTGTGAAGTCAAGAAGTTAATGATGCAGGCTTCACTGAATATCTTTAATGCATTTCCTTACATTTAATATAAGATCCTTTTTCTTCCTCATGTCTTAATCCAAACCAAATACTGATCATGATGAGCTGTGGTGAAAAAGACCGCTTGCATCAGCATTTGGACTTGCCCATTTCCAGCTATACGGAACAACACTCTTTTTTTTGTGCCAGTTATTAGGAATGTGGAAGAGTGGAGCTAAGTCATGCTCCAAAATAATTTTTTAAATAAATAAATAAATAAAAACTCTGTCAGAATTTACTCTTTCCTTTTTGGAGTTATACACTGGAATTACTCCAGGTGCAAAGTTGTAGAATTTCCCACATGTCTGGATTTAACAACTACAGTTCAACTAAAGGCCTTCTTGAGCAACTTCTAGAAATATTAAGGGGATCAAGAAGAATGTGTTTAAAGTACTTACTAGGATAAGCAAGTCTGTTTCCTCTGTTGTGATTTCCTATTTCTTTAGTCAGGATAAAGATGTCAAATATTGCAGATTTCCATATCAGATTTTAATGTGAGTGAAATACAGGAATACTGAAAGTTTACAATGAACTTTAGTTCTATTTTTTAGTTTTAACTTCTGGATTGTATGAACAATTAAAGTTCCTGTGAAATTTTAAGCAAATTGCAATAAGACATTTTATGTGGATAGAGTTCTCTGCAGATTTTTTCTATTTTTGGATAACTGCTTGTCTGGCTTCACCTCATGCCTCAAGTGAAGCCATTCCTGCTTGCTGACAAACTGAAGTTTGCAAATGAAACTTGCACTGTTGGGATCATATTTTAATTTAATTGTTTCTCTTTGCATAAGTCGATCTTCTGTCGTATCCTTCATTTGAAGCTGTAAAGTTTTATAACTTCATCTCTAGAAGAAGGGTTACCTTGAATTGTAGAAATTCACCTGGATTTTTGAAAGTGTAACTGTTAAGTGTCATTTGCAATAAACAGGTTGTTAAAATAAGATGTAAGCTACTCTCTGTATATGTTACAGGATGTCGTCTCAGCAGTTCTTGTGCTCCAAGACAATTGTGAGGAATACTGTTGCTGGGACATCTGGAGCTTTCTGGGGGGAATGTACTTCCAAAGTAGAAGCAGTAATTGCTTATGTTGTTTACTGGCATTTTGATTTCTGACCTTGGAGAACATTGATCCAGAGTGCTACATACATTAGCAAAAGCAGTGGATCCTTTTGCACATTTTGTCTCTCTTCTTGCTTTTGGCTTTTCCTATGCTCCAGCACTGTCTTTCTTGAGCTTAACATTGATAGTTCTGGAGGTGTAGTACTGAAGAAAGGAAGATCAGATGTTACACAACTTCTATTTCCCCTTATGATACAGGGAGGCGTTTTAAGGTGCACTTGTAATGATGGCAGGAATGCAAGTACATAGTCTTTGAGATTTAAGGTTTGAATAGCTTCATGGAATCTGTTTACAGTGCATTTCCACTTAAATCTAAAAAAGTATCTATTTTTTCTTCAGTTTCTATTAATGAAATGCAATAATTTGTCCATAAAATTGGGAAATCTCAGTCATTAGTTTCAGTATATTTTGACAACCATGCATATATGAATTTTCAAAATACTGAAAGTTCCTTATGTCTCTCTCTGCTATGCTTTGGCTTCCAAGTGGATTAAAGTGGATATTCCTGCAAAAGTGTGTACTTGGGAATTAGCTGGCAATTTTCCTATTTTTTTAGTATTGTGCAATTACAGCCTTTAGACTTTCTAAAATAAAAAGTACCTATTTCAAATTATTTTTCTTTGTTTTCACTAGTGATCAGTTAGTACTTTGAAGGGATACTAGGGAGGGTCAAGTTGAATATTTCAGTTTGAACTTTTTTCTTGAAAAGCAAACAGAAGAATAACTAAAATAGCTTGAGTTAAGGACTAGCTTTGTTAAGTAGCAGCTTTGCTCCATTAAGCAAGAAGATCTATGAAGCAACTGCAAGTGATTAAAATTATGGGAATGTATCTTATTGTGATGAGAGAAACAAAGAACAAATGGTTAAACATTACTACCTTTCTTTCCACTAATGCTGGCTAGGAATGGGACCCTGCTTAGCGTACTAGTGACCTGTCAAATCACATTTCTAACACACAGAGAACTTTAAAGATGGGAAGCTCCCAGTTGTGAACCTTGCATGGCAGGCTTCAGAAGTTTAATTTGAAAAGTATTACTTTTACAGTATTACTGTATTTAGAATAGAATGTTTCCAGGGATGGGGCATCTACCACCTCTCTAGGCAACCTGTTCCAGTGTTTCATCACCCTCTTTGTAAAAAATTTCTCCCTTATATCTACTCTAAATCTACCTTCTTTTGGTTTAAATATAACTTGCCTACATAGGCACTGTGCCAATAAATTTACTGGATATAGTTCACTAAAAGAGCTAGTTTAAGTTTGTCAGTAAAAGTTGATGATTTTGTCATCAGGAATAAAAATTCCACATAGCTTCATCAAGCTTGCGCCTACCGAAGGAAAGCTGATGACGGTTGTTTTCGATTAGAGCCTCCTTTGCTTTCCAGCCAGTAGAAGGACATGTTTAACATATTTAACAAGTGATTCTGTCAATCATAGTTTCACATTACTGTTTTATCCCATTTTGTGCTACTAATCTGATTGTCTTTCAGGAAGCTTCTCAACCACTAGAAGTTGATACTAACTCTTACATACTGATATGTAAAAGCTGTAGTTCCTTTGCATTATTTCTAAATAACAACTTTAAAACTGTTACTATTTCTCCGACAGCTCATGAAAGGCACACACACAGAGCATTTGCAGTTCACCTTCCTATTGATCTGCCCACTGTGATACATTTACATGGTAATGTAAAGACTGTGGTGAAAGTCACATTGGTGACAAGAACTGGTTGAGTCTGCATGTTAATTCACATATAAGAAAGAATAAAAACTCTGGTTGAGGCTAAAAAATAAAAATGTTATGGTGTGTCTCTTCTTCACCACCCACTGTCCCATTTACATTCAGACAAACCATAAAAATCCAGCTGTGCTGAAGTTTATAGTATTTAATTTATGCACAAGCAAGCTTTTGTACTAAAATTGCAGATTGATAAGCAAGTGAGTTACTAATATTTTGGTAAATGTAATTAGAAAACAAAGGGATCATCTACTTTTGCTTCTTAAATACAGAGCCTTTGAAGAAAGACAGAAGCAAGAAGAAGAAAAAGAACAAAGATTTAGAGAACAAGTTCTGCAGCAGAGGAAAATCAAACTTCAGGAAGCAACTGATAAGTTCCAGCGTGCTCATCTGGCTTTTTCTCAGCACAAGCAAATAGGTTTGGAAATTAAAATTTAACCATTATTCACAATACAAATGTTTTTCTATTAATAGAATATAATTGAGGCAAACAGAACAATTGACCACTCAAATTAATTTAATTCATATAAGCAAAACTTAACTGACAAGAAGCTCAGGTCTGATACGACAAAATTGAGTAGAGGGAATTAGAAAAAACAACATTCTTTTTCTAAAAATTGTATGGGATTCCCCCACTTTTTCCACTGTAGTGTGCTTGTTGCTTACAATACTATGCTTTCACAGCTGGCTGTTGGGTGTTACAAAACCACTGAATGTTACTAGGATAGTATAACGATCTGCTATTTGAACCCCAAATATGAAATATTGAAGAATGTGCATTTTGTTTATCATTAAGTAAAAGCAGTCCTAGCATATATTAATGTATTACATAACTTTTGCTGAATTAGTCAGCTTTTTAAGCTGTTCTCTTGCTGCTGGGAAGTAATGATCACTTCAACTCAGTTCCTGCTTTCTTGGAATCAGTGCAGATTGGCAGGAGTTTTTAATAGCATCAGCCAAGTCTGATTTCCAGTTAACTTTCCAGTGTTGAAACTCTTAAGATATGGTATATTACTTAGGTATTCTTTAACAGATTTACTCTCCCAACTGCAATTGTGCCAACTGTGAGGTAATGTCTCTAACTTCAAGATCAAATGTCAGATTAAAATAACAAAATAGAACAGTACTGGTCTAGGGCTTCTTCATAGCTCTACTGACAGCCCAGACTGTGTAGCAATATAATGAATCACTATTTTTTTTCTTGGTTTTTCTTTATAGCAATTCTGCTGCTGCCACTTTCTACCCTATTTTTACTTACTTGAAAGAGGCAACACCTTGTGCCTGTCTGGACTCTTTCTTTCTCCACTGATTTGATTATTAAGTTACAATTTGGCCTCTGTAAAATATCTGCAAGCCATAACTTTGGCTTAGTGCATGAGCAGAATAATCATAATGTAAAAACAAAGTTAGTGCTAGATTTCTTAACCTCCTACTTATCCAACAGTGCAGTCTAAAACCAGATAGCAAAACTGTTGAATACATGTGTTACTGTAAACACTTAAATAGACTGGGGTTTTTTTTCAGAGGAGCTAGAGATGTCCCAGCATGTCTAACAATGCTAAACCACCCAGTTTATTGTAACAGTCTAGATTTAAGCTTCCAAATTCAGAAACTTAACCAAACTGTGTGTGGTAAAATATTCCAATTTTTAAAATATTTTTTCCATTGTGTTTTTTACTCTATCCCTCTAGTCCAGACAAAAGCAGCTTTTCAGTTAGAAGAAGCTCTTGAACAAATTAAAGGATCAGTTTTAACACCAGGACTGTGCTTCCCCAGCAGAAACAGAACCAACTTCAGGTAAGCATTTCTGTTTACTCTGATGATCAAAGGAAGTAGATTGCTTAGTGTATTCAATAAACAGCAGACAATTACTCTTCAAGAAATTGTTGACCATTTCTCTTGTAGCAAAGAAAACATTTCTGTGAACTGTTCCAATGAAACATGAAACATCCTTGAGTTGTTTGTGTCCATTTGGTAAAACAGCAGAGGAGATGACACAAACCTTTTCCCTTCAACGGAATTCTGGGAATAGTCAGGGTTAACCCGGTTTCCATTCAGTTATAGCTTGACTCAGATTGCCATAGTTATCAAATCATCTGATGTTCCATGAATTATAAAGTATTTTGTCTAGATGATTTCTTATTCTCATCCAGATTTTTTCCTTTTGACTTTCAAGGATAGTTTAGTTTGTACGCTCATCCCATGATCTTATCTTCTTTCCAGCTGTCATTCCTTTAAATTTCTCATCCTCTATATGTATCTTAAGCATCCTGATAACAATTTTGCCTGCAATTTCATTTTATATCACATACAATTTGAATTCCATACTTTTCACTCTACCCAAGCACTTTTTCTAAGATACCATGACTTATCACAGAATGTTTCTTCATGCACAATTTATCTATCATCTGCTGTATTTGATACTCCTTCCTGATTATCTCCTCCCTAATCTCTCATTTCTTTGATGTTTCAGTTCAGGAGGTTTGTTGTTGTTGTTATTGTTGTTGCTTTTGTTATTACTATTATTATAATTATTTTCTGCATGCTGTAAATTGTACACATGTTCAGAATAGAGATAAATTCCGTCTAAAAGGGGTCTCCCTACTTTTGAGCTTCGATGTGTTCTTCGTTGTGATGTCAATATTCAGTTTGATTACACATCTACTGCTGATTAATACATGTTTGCAGGAAATAAACTGGGTGATTGACAAAATATTTTATACCTCTGAGAACTACATACTCATGCTATCTGCCAGTCAACATGCATATAGTTCTGTAGCTACTACACTGGGTTAACATAATGAAGGAGGATTGCAGCCATAAATAGAAACAAACAAAAAATCTACCTACTAAATATAAGTTGAAATGATGGTGAAAAAATGTAGATGTTTCTGAACTCTGCCTCAGGGTTCCTGATCGTTTTCCTCATTTCACTCAGAGGCTCACTCAAGGACAGCAGCTCAGTGCCTCTTCCCCCTGCCTTTATAATTTGTTCCTTTATTTTTCATCTTTCTTCAAACTGCTCCTTGTGCCTCAGGGGCTCACATTTTTCTCTCAGGACATCTTCAAACCATTTACCATTTCTTACAGTGTAACATTGCTGTCACTCCATATTATATTTGTATGATTTTAAAAATTCAGTATCCTGTAATAACGATAGTATGTTATTTTCCTGATTTTTGTTTTCATAACCTGATTTCCTAAGGAAATTAAATTTATACATTCATATTCTTTTACAGTTTGTGTTCCCCTAGTAACAAAATTTGAGAGAGAGCTAAGAATCTCAAAGATAATTATATTTCTACAAGTTTGAAATTGGCAATTTGGAAGGAAGAAATTATTCAAACAAGTGACCCCAGCATGAAAAAGGTTTAAAAGTTGAGTCCACATTGACCTATTGACAGGTCACAAGCCAGTTAATACAGGTAAGACAGCACATGAATATCCTGGAATCTGCCACAGAATGTGCTGCCTTTTCCCCAGCTGGTAACTAGGAAGCTTGGGTAGGAGCCATATGGGGTGGGTGAAGGACGATGTAGAGAATATTAGAGGGATGGTACTAAGGCAAAAAGAGTTAAGTTATTGCAGTACAGGCTTCTGTATAGGGGCAAGATATACAAATTAATACAAAATAAAGCTTTGCTTATTCTGATGCTAACAATTTGTCTTTCTTCCTTGTGAGAGAAAATACTCTATCCATTTTTGTCTGCATCTCACACAATACCTTACTAAGCACTGAGATTCAAACTGAATACACGCTAGGCTGCATAGATTCTTCTGGTCTGCTGCAGAAGATGTTAATGCAGGGTTGTTCCTTTTAGTTTTGGTCTGGGAGCCATAGTTTGTGTGGGTCACAAAAGTGGCATTTCTGTGGTTTTAGACTTGATTCCAAAAATTGTGCAAAATTCTCTTAGAGTGCAAATAAATTTCTTGCAAATCAGTACAGCAAAGTAAGCTTTGATACAGAAAAGCATTTTGAGAAGGTTCTCAAAGGTGAAGGTTCTTCAAAACTCACCAGTTCTGAGCTGTAAATCTTTAAAAATGTCTTATAATCCCTTTATTCAGAAATTTGGGACAGCTAATAACTAACTCAGGTGAGGTAGTAGATCCCTTTTTGTATTTCTATCTCTTCTTACACTTCTATATACACTCAAACCAAAAATCTTCTATCATCTTTAGAATTTACACTCTCTCAGAAATAGAACGTATAGAATTCATTGACAGTTCCATTTTAAAGGAAGAAATTAATACTGTATTAAGTATTCAAGATAAATATGGCTGCAGACCCAACTGGATATAGGTGAATTTTATAAGGTTCTAGAATTCTTAATGTCTATGTTTAAAAAGTTGTAAAAAATTAAATTAAGAAATGGAGACATATTACCTCCCTTTGGAGAAAGGCAAAAAATCCTGAAACACCTAATGAGTAAGAGATTTTATTCTGTGCTTGCAGTAGAGCTACTCTGCTTCTAATAAGGTTTAGTTATGAAATGCTGAAGCAAAGACTTTGGTCAACTCATTAGCCAACAGGCATTGGGATGTGTGCACATTAAGTGTGTAAATGGTGTGCTGCTCTTTGTACAAGATATATTTCCCTGTTTGTGTTTAAAAACAGTTGTATTTGATTAGGTTCAGTCTTGGGATAGAAGCTTAATTATGACAAATCAAAAATGTTATCTGAAAAAAGTTGGAATGTAGAAGCCTTTGTAAAATATAAATGGTCTCAACATCCAAATAGATATCAAGAAACTGCTCCCCCCCCCCCCCCAAAAAAAAAACCCAAAAAAACAAAAAAAAGATTTTGGGGGGCCAAGTGTATATCAGTCTGGTCCACAGTAACAAAGTCTTTAAAAGTGGATAAGTACAGAAAGTTTTTGGATAGGGAGGATATTCAAAAGAATACAGAATGCAGTTTTATGAGTTCTATAAATAAATGAGAAGTTGTTCTCCCTTTTTGCTATCAGCCATCTTATCAGAAATAATAAATTCCTTTTTAGACTCTGCAAATATATATCTCTGCTTAGGTCAGTGCAATTAAGCCAACCTTTTTGGAGTATTGTATAAAATATTCTGAAAAATAACAATCATCTTGATGGGATGAAAGTTTCCGTTTTCCATTGTCCTAAAATTGTAAGTGTTGTAATAAATACAGAAAAGGTCTCATTAGACTATTTAACCATTTGACACAGATGTACTAAAAAGAAGAGATTGATTTTAACACAGAGTATAGTTTTAGATACAGAAAGAGGATGAAACAGCTGAAGGCTGAGAAGAAGGAACTGTGGAAACTTAAGCTGAAGAAATGGAGAGGAATGAAGGAAAGGGGTTATTGAGTTTCTGTACATATATTAGACATATGGTAGCTATCTCCAGCAAGGAACAATACATGTTTCCTAGTAATGCATCTCTGCTGGATAGGCAGTAGAGGAGGAGGAGTCTGTGTACGTATTGTGTGACTGCACTGTTCAAATTTGCTCAATAGGGTTGCCAGCTGTTAATGAAGATAGCTTTGTGTCGCATGAAGTAGTCATATCGTCTTACAAGTTCCTACACTGCATATTGCCCATATATGAAAGGAACCATCATCTTCACCATCACGTTCACTGAAAATGAGGATGGGTAAAATGTGCATGGTAGATCATCTTGTCAGGCCAGATTTCAATTTAAAAAAAAGAGGGAAATATGTGGGAATATATGATTTTCACATTTAGTTGCATATAGACTAAAAGTTCACTTTTACCACAAATGTAGCTAAAAACCTTCACCTAATTTACCAACATTTAAGGGATCATGTTGATGCTGCTAAGGAACCATATATGAGAAATGCATCCTGGGAATGTTGGAAAGCATCTGCATATTAAACTGACAAAAGGTTTGGTTTGTTACTCAATCCAGTGATTGTTGAGACAAAGTATCATTTCAAATATTGGGCCTGATCAACCTGGTAAAATAAAAGCTGGATCTCCCCTTTTTGGTAAAGGTATACCCATTTTAGAAATACCTTCACTGAAAGTTTATACTGATAATCTGTTTCCAAGATCTATTCTCCTTCTACCACCATCTGTAATCATTGTGGAGTACAACAAATACTTGACCCTAAAACAGTGAGGCAGGCTTGGCTTTCTAATGATTTGTAAGGGTTATGGCTCTACTGAAGAGATGTGAGAACTCAAAGCATGGATCTGGTGAGAGATTTCTATAAGGGCCACTTTGGATATGCCAGACTAAGGCCATTTAGTGCCCTCAAACCAGGTTGGAGCCAAAAGACAGGATCAGTGTTCTTCGCTAAACTGTTCCACCTAGGCAGTCAAGCATTACTGGCAACCTGGTAATAGTTATACTTCCAGAAGACTAAAGCTTGATCTACCTATGAGCTGGTTGGTTTTGCTGTGTGGGTTATTTTTGCTTTTTTTAAGGCCTACCTTTCTTATTGCTTAAAGCTACTTGTTTCCTGTTTTTGTCATCCTTGATATCTACCTAGTTCTTGCTTCGTGTTTTCCAAAGCTTGGTTCCTATTCCTAGTGATCTTAGACAGCCTTGTTCCAGTTCTAATTGCTTTTTATTCTTCAACATATCTTGTTACACACTCCCTGCCTTCCTAGTCTCTGATTGCACATTTTCCTTGTCATTTGTCTTCACATGCTGCTTGGCTTCTTTGATTCCTGGGTGGCAACGAGCCCCACGGTTCTTGCTAATTCTCATCCTGTAGAAACCTATGGTTTCCTCTATCTTAATTTGGGCTCCCCCTGACCACTATACCCAGCTACACTAGTGACTCCAAAGATATTTTTTTTCAGATAGCAAATAAAAATTCTTTAATGTACCATATTGCTGACATTACACGTCATCAGTAGAGTTGGGCTCTCTAGATACTACAAAGCCTTCTTGCTATTTGAAGTAAGGGAATATCTGAGAGCATCGGTATATAGTTGTCCTCTATATAAGCCAACCTTATGGAAAAACAAAGGCCATTTTTCTTGTTGGTTGTTTTTTTTTAAACCAAAACCCTCCATTTTCCGTTTCTGTAAATGACCAAACTGTTGGCTGACATTTTCCAGATTAATTCAGCCTGAGGCAGTCACCCAACAACCCAATCAGAAAAGTCTGACTATTTATAAATAACAGAAGAGAAGGTTTAAAATGGAAAGTGTTGGACAGTTTTAGGTAGTACTAACAGCACCACCTGTAGTTACATATAGTACAGCTGTCCTTCACTTGCCAGGCATTTACTGATGATGTATATACTTTTGGAAAGGAACATGTTTAAAAGTGTACAGTTGATGCATAGAAATAAGCCAAAGTAATAAGTTATTTGCTTGCATCAAGAACCACAGATGACACTTCATCCTCATCAGCACCTAGAAACGGTTCTTTCCATCAGAAGCAGATTTCAGCAATGGTTGGCTGGGATAAAACAATACAAGAGAGCAGTAGAATGAACATGGATAGTAACCGACTTCTCTTCCAGAAAAATGTGAAAGAAATGCAACAACTCCTTGAAAAACAGCATCTCAGCAACTTGGAGGTATGATATTTCCATGTGATTCCTTATGTGATGGTCCTTAATTGTAATAGAAAGTTTCTTGAATGTGATAAAAATGAAAGGTCTGTTAAGCACTCTTTACCAAATAGACAACACGTGAAGGCACATTGTACTATGCCTTACCAATAGATTATTTAAAGTAAAATTATACATATCTTTCAGTAAGAAATCAGAGATCTTTAAAAATGTTTGTAAGAATATTTTCAGAAATTCTTTCAAGATGTCTCTCATGTTGTCTTTCTTTCTGTGAATGTAAGATATGTATGTCAGACTTCTTGGCTCTGAAGTAGCTAGCCTTTAGTCTATCACAGGAATCTTGTACTAGGTGCAGACTTAAATTGGCAGCTTGCAATTTACGCTTAAGTTTCTGCTTTGCTGGTTGCTACAGCTCAGCACAAAATGCTATAGCAGTGTAATTATGGTAGGTCAAATGTTGGGTTTTCTTGTTTCTTGGGGTTTTTTTTCCCAATGTGTGGTGATTTCTTAGGGATTGCCTTCAAGTTTCTTGAGGTCCTTTTTTGTCATCTTTGGAACAGATGCAGATGTTCCAGTAACAAGCCCATTAACTTTCTGCCTAAACTGTTTTTTGACCCAAAATCAGTTTCAAAAGTCACCTTAGAAACACAGTGAAAATCAAGAACTGAGCTCCAAAGTGATTTATTATAACTGCACCTTTAAATGTGATTTTAGGTCTGTCAGTGTTGTCTTTGATTTTAGAAATATTGTCTTCATGTTACATCTTTTAGAAACAAGAGGACATACTTTTGGACTCATTCTTTCATTTCTATAATATTATCTACTGGTATCTGGACTCGTGGTGTCTGAAATGACCTTGACTATGAAACACTGTCCCTTTATATTGATGATGACTAGAGGCATGGGATCATTGGTGGCAATAGAGCAAGGGCTTTTCCTTTTAATACATGTGTATGGATAACTTTTGAAAGACTGTATACAGTTCAGATATATTTCAAGTTCTTTGATATCAGTTTTTTCAGGCACATTGACCTCTGTCTTTGTACCTACTTTGTTCTGATGGTTATTCATGAGAATCTTGAGCAGCTGATGGCTGACACAGAAAATTTCACTCAACGGGAGTAAATTTCAAAAAGGTTGAGAAGACAGAAAGTACAGTTTGTACTGCAGGGTTGTTGATTAGTGTTCATTCTTATTTCCAAGCATAAAAGAAGGAGGAGCAAATGGCAATTTATACAAGAGAGCTGATAAAACTGAATTCTAGATAACCACTTTCAAACAAAATACAAAAAGGTCTAAGCTTTTCTTTTTTTTTTTAATACCACGTTGTGCATTTCATTGGTATAGTATATGCAAATCCCTCCCTACATGATGATGCTGAATTTGGCAGAAGCTCCATTAGGACATCTTAGAATTAGGAAAAAAAATGCAATCTCTTTGAGAAAAATGTATTAAAAAGTTATTCTAAATATATTCTAAGACAACTATATTGTAGTGTATTTTATCAAACACAATTATCAAATTCTAATTGAATTCTAGGGAAAAACTGCTGTGAGTCATGCTTAATTTTTTACTTATAGTTTTTTCTAAATGTTATCATCAGCTTTGGACACTGCATATAATATAGGAATTTGTGCTTACAAATTAATGTCTTTTTGAAAATGCTTTGTTCCTCAAAAAATTTTGCTTTTTTCCCCAGAATGTATTTTTCTGCTACCACTAGGGGTTGCTCAGCTTCTTCCCTCTGATAAATAGTTTCAAATTGTAAATATTTATACTTCAAACATTCGGACTTTCTTTCTTGAAATTGCATGCTTTGGACTGATTAGAAAAATAGTCAAGAAAGCTATTGTCATTTTTCTACGGCCTGAGTTTTGGAAGTTTAATGCTTGGATTGTGATGGTGTGCATGTGTATTGTGACTTCCTGTGATGTGAAATAGTATTTATAATACTTTTACTAATAAAATTTGTAATTTATAATTATTTCTAATACTCTTCCTGACATGAATAGTCTTCAGTAGTCTTGTTACTGTCTGTTGTCCAAAGTAATTTCAACACTGCTTCCCTTTCTGAAACTAATGTCAAAGTATTTCACTGCACATGCTTTGCAGCCTAACCATCCATTGAGATCCTTTGACCTCTCTTTGTTTCTGTTTTTACAGGCCCAGCAGGATTATAAAGATTCCTAAAATTCTTTTCTTTCCTACAGGGCAATAAAGTTCTATGTAGACCCATACCAGTAGATTTGGTGTGTTCCCTGCTTTCCATCCCTAAAAATTTGTGTAGTTTCAGCAGTAAGCCAAGGTTTTTAGTGACCCTTCTACCATTCTTTCTACTAATTAAGCAAATTATTTGGCTTAAAATATTGAGAGCAGTAAATTTTATTTTGTGCAACAGTTATATCTGAGCCAGCACATCAAATTATTATTTGTTATATGTCCATAAGTATGTTCTTTTTTTTAAGAAATTAATATTGTTAACTTCATTTGCAATCAAAGTTTTTGTTGCACAGTCCCTTCCTGGTTTTGTTGCAGGCATAAATAAAATCTTTAAGGTGGACCTGGTAGCACGATCTTTAGCTAAGGCTGCATGTAACTTTTCACCAAAAGATGTTACTCCCAAGTGCTTATAATTATTGCAAATGTTAACTGTTTTTATTGAAATTTTCCATTTCTGGCACCTGCCTTGAACTGAATAATTTAGAAAATTTCCATTAAAATGGCTCAACTGTGACAAGGAATAGTGTTATTCAGACATCTTTTTTCTTTTTTTTTTCATCAAGTCTTTAATTTAGTGGCCATAAAAAATTGTTTTGATCAGTACAATATTTTTACGCTCTTCCAGAAAAATACATTATCCTTGAATTAAACTGTTTGATTGACATAATATTTTACCTCTATTGTTTCACTTTTTAAACAAAATAATTGGAAGTAAGAGCTAATTCACAGACAAAACAGGTATAGATTACAACATGGAGATTGTATTTTCCTCTTCCCTTCTTTATATGACCGTAATTAGGTTATTCAAGTAGTATCTGTGCAATTCAAATTTAAACCCCTTTCTGATTGATTTGAAGCAGGATTTTTACCTTGGCTCTCCTTTTTTCCCAAGCATATTGTGCAGCCATTGAAGTACTCAGTATCAGTCTTTCTATGGATACTGATCCCCTTGGCATAAAATACTTCAATATTTATTGAAATAGGGACTGGAATACAGGTATAATTTCTCAGAAATTGCAACCCAAACCATGAGGTCAGAGGGTTATTCCTATATTATCTCTAATACAATAAAATTTTGTATCCTGTTATACTGTGTGTTCTTATATGTTACATATAGAATTAAATAAGTCTTTGAGAAATAATGGAAGAATGTTTTCCAAGTGATGTTCCACTGAATGAAAGCAACAGATGTTGCAAACACACTGGCATGGACATCGCCTTACTTAAATGAGTGAGTTGAGCTGTATGAATGTTAGCTGTTTGCGTTACTATGCTTTTAAGGTTGGACTGTGTCTATGAAATGGAGATGTTTCAGGTAACTGATGGAAAAACTGAATTCATTTTCAAGTGCATTTGTAGTATGAGTGGAATGACTTAAATAAGGGTTCGTTCTGCAAGGTGTATTATATCAGTCTAACTCTTCAGAGGCATAGACAAGACCAGCATGGAAAAAAGGAGTGCCTGTGTACAGAGTCTCTGCCAAGTGTCAAGAACTTGTAGAATGCTCAGGGCTAGTTAGTGGGAAAACAGACTCTTAAGGGGAAGGTTAGGATAAAATGGCACTGGAACTGAAGTCAGACTTGATTTTGAAAAGACCATTCAAAATTTGGAATAGGTTTCTATGGTCACCTTAAATCTAGAAACATTGGCCATTTTTTACTTGTAACTGTGAATGTTAACAAATTTTATGTTGATCACTTAAATTATATGACAAACTTGAGTGATTTCCCTACTCATTTTCCTTTTGGCAAGATCAGAGGTGTTCAGGTTTTATTGGCCTGCAACCAATATTGCAACATACCACTATCTTCCATGTTATTTCACTAATCCAAAATTCACATTTGCTATAAAGGTAAATTGTAATGTATCTCCAACCTAAATTATTTTACCCAAATAGTCAAACTTGTTTTGATTGTGTATTCCTCAAGAGTATTTTTTTTACATAAAATAGTGGTTTATTCCAAGCCTGTGTTGTATAAAATGACATTACAATCTTCATCTCTGACAATCTGGATGTTCAGTCATTTGAAGAGTGTGTTGCCTCAATTCAAAGCCCTGCTTGAACAGGCGATAATGTAGGATTGAAGCTGAAACAGCACTTTCAAGCATTTTCAGGACAAAGAGTTTGTTTCACAGGTAGATTAATATATGAATAAGACTTTGGTTGTGGATAAGTTAGGGGTTTTATACATACAGCATAGCTCACAAACCACAGAACCAGAGAAATTGAGAATTGTCTTCTAATACATACCTGCTCCTCATTTACAAGCATATACTTTTTAATAAGAACTGCCATACATATTAGCATGACTCCATTTTTGGTTTTACGTTCATATACATATATCCAAATATATATATATATGTATCTATGAAATATTTATATATAGCTATGCACTAAATTATTTCCACCATACTTCATAGCTATTTTTGAAGTGATTTGTCTTACTGTAACAGAGTAAAATGTTCATAAATGTAGCTAAAGGGAGGAACAGAGGAAAAAAATAGCAGTATCTGATCTTTAGTTTACTGCGGTTATGGTAACAATAATACGTTTGCTTGCAGGAAGGGAGTGGAAGATAAAAAAGTTTGTGCATACTGGTCTGCCAGGATGCTATATTATATTATGATAACTTGGTATTATCAGAGATAGTATATATTAATGTCTCAAGGGGATGTTGGGAAATCTATTGCTTTCTCATCAAGATTAAAGTATCACTGTCCAGAGTAATTCTACCCCTTTGAAGATGGCAGAGCTGTGTTTGGGCTTTTTTTAAAGAGATAAACCT